AAAAACTGTCAGTAGAGAGAAAGCAAACGAAAATATTCCCGTTTGGAACAGAATATTCCGAAACAGAATTCTTGACAACCTGGCTTAAGTGAGACAATCACAATGTGAAAGAATCGAGCTTAGCATAGCATCATTCTCATTAATACTATTATTAATATAGCAACGGAATCTGAATTTATAAGTGAGGAAATATTAATATAGCAACGAATTTAAGCACAAACATTTGAATACGAATAAAATTTAGACTATAAATGAAAGGAGAGATTATTTACAATGACAATCCAATTAATAATACTGGAAATATTATTGTAAATAATTAATTATTTACAATAATATTTACAATAACAATCGAATGAAATTACTCACAACGATCGAATCAATAACGAAAACATTACAGATCTACAAATAAAGATTTCAGTGTAACAGAAATAAAACATAAAACTTTCATTGCAATTGCAATTCAATGTCGCAAACAAAGCCCACAAAAGATTAATAATATCAAGGAAAAAGACCACCTCACAGTCCTATCGAATATTTCTAAAAATTACAACCATACAGGAGAAGCATCACAACTAACTGTTCGTTGCTGACATTTCACATGCTCCACGATTAAAGGTGAACAAACAATAACAGGTATACAATGAGACGGTATAAACGTGAAGTAGAAATTATTGTCAAGTTTCAAATATGAAAGTTAGACTTGACTACAGATGTATACAATTGATATAATCAGAGAAACGAGANGTCAAGTTTCAAATATGAAAGTTAGACTTGACTACAGATGTATACAATTGATATAATCAGAGAAACGAGAACCTTGCTAGCTGCCGTCGTAACGCATTTCCCCCGAGTTCCACACATCTCTCTCTGTTGTGAGCAAACCATTTCCAAAAACAAATACATCAAAACTAGAAAAATATTGCACAAATTCCAATACAAAATGCTTAACAAATTGACAGTGAACAGCGGCGAAATGGATGAAACGAACAAAAATTATAAATGCGCAGTGTAGACTGTATGACGAGTAAACAACGCATGAGATCCACTTAATCTATCACCAAAATAACGAAATATCATAGAACACAAAACTCTTTCTCCTATCATAAATTCTCCTCAGGTATTACGATGGTTCAAGCGACTTGACCCGCTGCCTCGGCGAACTGTTTCAACTTATTGCGCATTTGTTGATTTGTTGACGGTTTTATGACCTGAAGTGCTGATTTGAAATCCTCCAGTTGTATCGGTCTGACTTGTGATTCGGTGGCTTGCTTGAGTTGCTTTCGACTCATCTCACGAATAGGTACCATCGCTGCCTCACGGCACAACGCCACAATATCCGAGTTTGAGTAATGCTCCGTTTTTGCGGCCAATTCCCTGAAATATTCAAAGTTGTTCACAAGGCATTCACAGTCAGTGCGTGTAATCTTCACTTGAGCTGGTCATACTCACCTCAGGTCACGCTCACTCAACGCAGATGCAGTCTTATGTTTCTTCAGTAGCGCTGCAACAAGATGCGCTCGTGCTTTTTCATCGGGAACATCCACCAGAATCCTTCTCGGAAATCTCCGCAGAACGGCCGGATCCAACTCTTCCGGACGATTCGTGGCACCAATCACCAGTAGGCGATCGCTTTTTGACGAGCAAATGCCGTCCATTTGAATCATAAATTCAGTTTTCATACGTCGCGATACCTGAAAACCGTTCGAGTTGCTGCTAGGAAGGCGACATGACATGATTTCCTCTCAATAGTGCACCTCTTTTTCTCCTCTCTGGAAAGGTCGAGAGGCATCTACGCGCTTGAGTAAAAGAAATTCTCTGAACACTCTCAAATGGTTCGTATTAAAAATACGAATGCAAAAATTTGCAACGAATCAAAATCACTCACTTCTGTTTCTTTTTCACTTCGTTCGCATAAAATCGAATCAATTTCATCGATGAATATTATCGACGGCTGTCCATTTCGCGCAATTTGGAAGAGTGCTTTCACGATCTTCTCTGCATCTCCAACCCACTTCGAAGTCAACGTCGCAGCCGACACGTTCAGAAACACTGCCGATCCACACTCCGTGGCAACCGCTCGTGCCTATTGATTGTTGTAATCACAATAGAAATAGTTCCATCTGCGATGGTGACCACAAACATAATATCAATCCTAACATTAATTTCAACAATCAACACTATACAAATAAAATCTTCATCAACCAAAACAACAACAATCACTATTTTTCACTTATATAAACAAAAACATATTTTTTCACTTAATAATTTCACTTATATAAACAAAAACAAACTCGTACTGAAGAAATCAGTTTCAGATTTCACGCAAAAAATTCAAAAATTATGGAATTTTACGACATTCCGAAGAGATGCTCACAATAACTTCAATAACCACTCACCAACATCGTTTTTCCATTGCCAGGTGGTCCGAAAAGCAAAATGCCTTGAACTGGTTGTCTTAAACCCGAAAAAAGATTCGGATTTAACGCTGGCAATATCACGGCTTCTTCGAGCGCTCTTTTCGCCGACTCTGCGCCCTCGATCTCGGACATTTGTATCGCACTAATATCCATAATCTCGTCCAGTAAGGGTCCTCCAAATTTTTCGTCGACTCCTCTCAACATATCAGCACGGCTCAATTTTGTTCGAACAATCTGAAATGAATGAATTTCTNGTTCGAACAATCTGAAATGAATGAATTTCTCATATCGCTGATCTTTTCAGTGATCCGTGAGTGGGCGTTTTTGAGCCTTTTTCGTTCAATTGTTTAATCAGAAACACAATTACCAACATAAACGCAATAATCATTAGAAAGATAACTCGGTAATTTTCGATCACGCAAATAGTTAAATTTAACTCAAACATACATTACACAGATTCGGTTCACATTTCTACACCGATAAAACGACCCCTTCTGAGAGGAGCTTATCATCCAATCGCAAAATCACGTTTTATCAACTCAGATCCTTCCGCTGAGTTCAAGTATTAAACATGTGGGATCAAGTAAACTGCGAAGTACGATCAGTCTTTCTATGAAGCTTGTCGAAAGTTTTATGCAGCTGCGAAGTTCGAACAACTAACTCGACTTTTATCGTTGGACGTGTTTGCTGTGGCTCGATTTGTGACTCGTGGCTGCCGTGTTGTGTTCGATGATGGCGCAACGGCTACAGTTGGTTTGGGATGAGGTGTAACCCGCGCTATGGTCGTACGGGGTGCGCCTTTCGTGGTCGTCGCTGGGAACATCTTCTCTGAACAAACAATTCCAAATGAT